TAAATGGGTTGTTACTCTAGCAAAAATTCTGCAAATAGCAGTTTTCATCCACTGAGAGGTATTTTTGATAAATCTTTTTTTTAGGCAGAAGTTCGGCCATCTCCTCTTCGCACAACGCTAAAATCTTCCTTCATTTCTTCAGCTCTGCCAAAACACCTGAGGTAACGCGCCTTCTGCCGGCTGCCCTTTTTTCTGTTGTTATTTGTACAACTGACGTCAATTGTATTGATATTGGCTACCATCTTCCAAATTTGGTCAGGGTAGCCGGATATGAAGAATTAGGTGGGTTATTTAGGCTTACCATAAACGGAGAAATTTAAATGAAAAATAATTCTGAATATATACGACAGAATGATAACAAGAGATTTGTGTTAACAGGTGCTTCAATCATGGCCTACAGTGACGACGTCTTAAGGTACAATAGTTATGGAAAAGAGTATAAAGTTCCCAGGAGACGTGTGTTCAACCTTTCTGAACTTCAAAGAGCAGATCACATTGCTTTCTATCGGCTCCAAGGTATTTATTGTCATCACGCTATAGTAAAACATGTCGATGAAGAAAGCGGTGAAATCAAAACTATCGAGTACAACAGAACTCCTTCAGGAAAATTTCAGGTGATGGAAAAAACGCACCGATTTGTAGAAGTTACTGTATACCTGATGCTACACGAAAGTTTCCATCGCGATCTTGTTCTCTGGAGAGCGCAAAGTAAGATTGGAGAGGAACAATACAACCTAGTTACCAATAACTGTGAACACTTTGCCATGTGGTGTATCACAGGAAGATCATCGTGCGACCAAATTAACAAAGGCTTAGAGATGGTCAACGAAGAGGTCGGACAACGGCTTGTAAGTAAAGCAGCTACCCGAGCGGAGGCAAAAATTGCAGCCTATAGCGCATCACACACAGGACGAGTAATTATGAGAACAGGGATGACCCAATCGATGGCACAAAACGGGCTTACCACGATGGCTTCGGATGCTGGAACTGGAGTTGGAGGAATTCTAGCTGGAGGAGCACTTGCTGCGGCTTTTGAGGGTGTGTCAATGGCATATGATATTGGAAAAGTACAAGGCGATTTGAAGACAGGAAGAATCGACCAAAAAGGATACGACAAAACTGTGCGGAAGAGAGTTGTGACTGGCGCCAGCCGTGTAGCAGTATCTACTATTGGAATGGCCGCCGGACAAGCTCTCATTCCTGTTCCAGCTGTGGGAGCTGCTATAGGAGGTGTGGCAGGTGCACTTGTAGGACGATTTCTTGGAAATCTTACCGGAAATATAGTTTATGACAACGACTGTGAAGATGGTGTTGATTATTATGAAGCCGAAGACACTTAAAAATCAGCGAAGAGGATCTTGGTGGTGATGGTGCTGATTATTATTTTTATTATGCCATTGACACTGACACTGACGAAGCTAACGAAGTTGCTCTTGTGGGTGATGGTCTTATTATGGTGATTACTTTGCCGACGACACTTATTATTACTATTATTACTATTATTACTATTATTCTACTGACGACACTGACGGTTATGGTAACTATAGCTACTACAGGTAATTAAGAAATAGTTGGTTGGCTAAAAAAAATTCCGACGACAGTTAAAATTGGACAAGGCCGTAGGCTGAGTCCAATGAATAAATTAATAGACAAGGCCTCACGCTGAGTTCACGTGATTACGTTAAAAAGTCAAACAAAATCGCTAACTTGCGGAAAGTTAAAATAAAATTCGCTCAACTTTTGCATACTGGTAGACTTTAGTACGAATATGAACGCAAAATATTTTTTTCTGACTCGAAATATCTCTTTGTTTCTGAGAGAAACGACGAAAATAGTTGTTCGTTCATGCGTTTATTTCGCAAGTTTCAACCAAGGCTCAACCATGGTCTTGTCTTTCTTTAATTCCTTTTCTCAGCGCAGACGCTAATTTGCAGACAACCAACCCAAACACCTCAGCGTCCCATGGGGTTGCGTGCGCACCCATCGCATCAACAAAAAATTTTGGAAGTTAGAAGATTTTTTGTTTTTGCGTTTTCCCTTGGCTTTGATAACAGGACAACAGCATTTGCTGTCATAGTAAGTGTAAGAAAAAAGAAAATGTAATAAGCTTTTGACACCAAAATACTTTTAAGTCTTTTTAGCTTGTCTCATAGAACGACATCCACAGCCATAGCAAAGAGTATTTGTCGTACTAGACTCTACAAAATGGTTCAGTGATATTGGCGGCACAGCCGCGCTGTTGGGGCGGTTTTGAAAACTACGTTTGAATCATCCAATATGGCAACATGGCTTAAGAATTCTTCGATGAAGGATTCTTGCATCAACCGTTGTCTATAATTATTACATGTTGGATTTAAAGGTTTAAAAAAGGTTTAAAGGCTTGTTTATAGTGGAAAGTACACTTAGCTTATCCAGCTAGTTTACAGGCACTTCACTTAAATACTAGAATTAAACAAGTAATAAGTAATACTGAGTAGTACTAAGTACAAGTATCAGTCCACTTCATACTTGGTTGTATGGTTCAGCTGATGTTTAGGAAACATCGAAAACGAAGTATTCGGCAGCATTTTCTGATCTAATGTAACCATTTGCAGTTGAGGAAAGAGAGACTTGTATAATTATACTTGTATAATAATTAAGCCTAAAAGTAAGTTCGCTTATTAGAAAACTGATCGTTTCGTTGGAAAAGTGTTTTCAGCTGTGAGACTGGAAAATAAGTACTGATGTACGAAACCAACCGCGTTTGTTCAATGCACAACTCCGCTCACACTTTTGCACCCGAGACTAGCATTTTCCGTTTCCTTGCCTAGATCATTCCAGTTTTCAAATTTTGTAGCTTTTCTTGCAGCTGAACTTAACATGGTAGGCAGGGGCGGATCCAGGATTTTTTTTAGGAGGGGGTGCACTCGTCTCTTGCTCTACTTCAACACCAATAAACCACATAGGTTTTTTTGGAGAATACCAGTTGTATTAGAAAACCGCAGGTCATCTCGGGGGGGGGGGGGGGGGCCCCCCCCCCCCCCCCCCCCCCTAGACCCCCCCCGGGGGGGGTTTCCCTTTTTTTTTGTGCGTTTTTAAAAATTTTTTTTTTTGAAAACATCCCTCCCAAAAGAATGAATGTGTTTTGGTTGTAAAAAAAATTTTACAATAAATTTTCCCCCATAATAAAATATTAAAANCCTGGTACGGGTTTACTTTTTTTTTTGTCGGTTTTCAGAAATTTTATTACTTGAAAGCATCCTCTCAGAAAGATGAATGCTGTCTAGTATGTAAAATACAGTTAACAGTAATTGTTCCGCATAATTAAATGATAATAAAAATCCTCTCTACGGTACGGACAGTAGATTTACCTCTGTTTGCTTTGGTAACTTAAGCGTTACTTTTCAGAGTAGCTGAAACTCAAGAATAAACCGTGTGTCTCAGCCAACGATCGCCAGCTCTTTGATCTTTTCTCCTCACATAATATGCACCCTCACGTCAGAAGTCCTGTGCGCTAAATTAGACTATCAAAGCATTGTTGCCAACTCTCGGCTGTCAACTCCCAACTGTTGTAATTCTTGCCAAATGAAACCAACAAATGTTTCTATGCTGGAAAAAAGTGCCAGTCTGTCGCACCCTCGTCGCAAAGTGCTCCATGCGCTCGCTTCATCAATTGCGGGCTCCAGAAACCACGGACCTCGGTCCTTTCGCAGAGACTTCTGGTACTGTTGTAGGGAAAACATTGTCCAATAGCTCACCGGCGCGTCCCCAGTAACTATCCCAGAAACAATTGCAGAACGCATTTTGGCTCCAGTTTCCTTCCCGTATCCCCGTTCGGCGCTGAATTCAACGACATTTACTGAAAACACGTCGTTTTTCACATCCGTACAGTAGCCAGTGGACCAACACTGCGTCCTCGTCGTTGTCTTGTTCTGCGTCCATGTCACACACTGATATCAGTAAATCGTCCAGCAGGCCTTCTATTTTACTCATTTGTCGCAGCCCAAAGTGAAGCCATCGGACTTTCGCTGGCGGAGGGGAAGGGTGATCAAAAAGGTGGAGGGGCCTCTCCAGAACCGTGAGGTCGCTTTTTCGACGGTAACCCCAGTCGAAAGGAAAAAAGCAGTCGCGTTTTTTTTGTCATCCATCATCCAAGCAAAAACTAAAATTGGAAAAAGAAACGCCGATAAAGGGAGAGAAAAGGCGACAGGCATATCCCGTCAAAGGAAAAGCGGGAAGAGGTCCGATGATACATAAATACAACAGTTAAGTTGCGTCTCAAATACGAAGAACTTTCACGCGCGTTAAATCTTTCTCCTTCAGTTCAAATACACGAAATGTCATATCATCGTTTCACAATAGACATTTTATAAACATCAATGTGGTAAACACATATCTAAACTAAATTAAGTAAAATAAATACTCACTTATACTCCCAATGGTGTCGTCTCTTGACAACCATCATATTATTCCCTTCTGGTGACGTCACTGTCCTTCCAACTTTTTACATTCGCCGCCTCTTGGTGTGGTCAGATGAATGACGCCAGCAGTTCCCGCCTTCTTATTGTCCTTGTCCAAAGTTTGCAATTCCTGCTTGTTGGTCATATCCGAAACGAGGTTGCTGGGTCCAAACTAGCGTATACGACTACTTATTCGAGAGAATAACACCACGGGAACATAACAATGAAGTTTCCACGCAAACATCAAGCGCACGTGCCGTGACAACCTCGTTCCCAGTCCAAGGCGGAGGGATGGAGGTTGGGAGGGGGAAGGGTTATAAATATTGTAGCGGGAAATATTTCATTTGTGGGAGGAATTTTGATCGCATCTCCTCGGTAACCTTGGAACAACCATTGAATAAAAGCGAGAAAAAAATTGCGTTGCTTGCATTTGTTACAAAATGCCGCACTCAACAAAATGCGTACGTTTTCACTAAATTCACCAACCCTTGTTACAAAGTGCGATGTTATAGCAAAATGCCTCGAATACTCACGCCGAAACGCACAGAATGGACAATATTA